CTAGGTAGTCGCGGGTTCACATTTCGGGCGATCCACACCTGGGATTGGGTATGTGTTGCTGATGACGGCTAATAAGCTAAAAAGGTCATTTAAATCACGTTGGTGCTTGTTGGTTTCACCTTACCATAGCTGCAGGCAAATGGAGCAATTCTCCCAATCGAAATGGCACGAATAAACTACAGACTGGTTGGTGTTCAGCAAACCTCCTACTGACATGTTTTATGCCCAAAAATCCGAACGAGCCGGATTCGAGTACTAACCGCTGCTTCAGGTACTGAATTGTATCGAGTTATCTGATTCAAAATGCCAAGATTCCTTTATATTTATTAGGGGAACACGGGCTTACTTGGAACGTTTGTATTGTTCTTGTAGAGTGATCAGTCAGGGATAATTCGGTCGCGGCAATTGTGTCCTATATGTATCCTCTGTCCATTTTCAGTCCCTACTAACTTATTTTGTGATTGCTGTATTTGTATCGTTTTCCCATAGTCATAAAATTTGCTGCATTGTTAGCTACTGTATTGCAAGTCGAGACCAGTTTCCGATAGAGGACCCCAGGATCATGGTTGTCCTATTTAGAACGTCAATTCTTGAGCTGGCTTGTCGACTTGACCAGTATACAATCTTCCGAAAAATTAATTGAACACGATGCCTTCTATGGCTTGTATGAGGGCTAATTGAACATCAATATATGAAACTAATTTACAGTCTACCAGCCTTATATATGAGAATAACCACTGAACTGAAAATATTCTAATCGGCACTGTTTAACGTTCATTTTCTGCTGACCAAGCATGAACAGGCGAGATATAATCATGGTTTCCAAACTTTCAGAGGAGTAAACTGTGCTCATCAGATGGCTGTCTTTTAATTGTCAAAAACGACACATTCCGGGGTTATCCATACAAATATAAAAAAACATTATGCCAAACAAGAAGTGCGCGGCAACTTCTTTTCCCACCGGGTTATTAAAGACTGGAACAAACTATCTTCTTCAGTTGTTCTGCCTGAAAGGGTCAAAGAATTTAAAAGATGACTTGATAAATCTTTACTACATTTACTACATTTTTTAGACACCAACGATTGATATACTGTACGTATATGACTCTTAAACATATGCATGATTTGCCAGAATCTATCTG